GTCAGAGTGCTGGTCATAGATAAGCGCGAGACTCGCGGTTATATGAAAACGAGAAGAATCGTAATAGAATAACTCAAAGCCGTTATAGTACCCTGAGGGTCCAAGGACCCAAATAATGGGGCTTTAGGGCCCAAATACCATGAATACAAAAGTATTTGGACCCTAAAACCCCATTATTTGGGTCGGACTTAGTAACCTACTTATAACTGGGGTAACCCCCATAAGCCCATGCAGGGTGATTATGATTAGGGTTATGAGCCCAGTTATTAAGTAGTTATTAAGTCCCATGGGCCTCCAAGTAAACCCTAAACATTAATATGGGAAACTCATACATGGACTGTACGGGTGGAAGCCTCAGTACGGGGACCGTTGCCTATTGCTGTACGGGGAAATCCCCACACGTCTCGAAGCAACAGCCTGCAAAATCCTAAAATGCAGGCGCCAAGAGAATTAGCAATATCATGTTGAAGTCTTTTTAAGGTGCCTTCTACCATGATTCTACGAGGGGCCTAGGACCACAACATTGACAGTAATCCCTATAAACTCCTTTAAAGCCCATTTCTTGTCCTGTCATGTTCCATATTGTGTTCCAGCTCAGGCGCCATGATTGGTAGTTATCTCTGATATAGGGTCCCCTAAACCCTACACCCAAAACCCTAAACCCTAAACCCCAAATCCTAGACCCTAACCTCAAAGCAAGGGGTTCTGGGGAGTCCCCAAAGTAATAAGGACTGTGATATATGTACCATTGTCTAAACTCCTATAGTAGTCCCTATATAATTCTTTGTATAACCCCCTTTTAAGGAGTTTAGACTACAGCTCATATATATTCAGGTCTGTAGCTGGGTCCCGTATTTATGGGACCCGATACGTGGAATTTGGTTGCCGCAAACCCTAGTTTAGAATCTAGTGTTTAGAGTTTAGGGTGTAGGGTAAAAATCTACCCTACACCCTAAATCCTAAACCCTGGACCCTAAAACCTTTTCTGCTGGCGTGCGCGTGTCAGCTATGGGCTAGGAGGACCCCCCACCCTGTAATAGCGGTATAGTAGGAATATAAGAGGACCCTAATATAATCCCTATTATTCCTTATAGTCACTATTACAGGCTGGGGGGTCCACCTAAGCTATGGGCTTGAGATTGCAGTGGCGAGCCAGGAGCCCGCCAAGGTGACCATGCAGCAGGAGCCAGAGAGCCCAATACCCTGATGAAGGAAGTATATTGGGGTTATATAGGGATGATAGAAAATAGAATGGAAACTACTATTTAGGGTCTAGGTTTTTAGGGTTTTAGGGTTTAGGGTTTAGGGATTTAGGTTTAGGCTTTAGGGACTTGAGGGTTTAGGCTGTAGGGATTAGAGTTTGGGTTTTAGGGTTTAAACCCATGAAGGACTGCAATTAAGGTCCTAAACCCTAAACCCCAAAAACATTAGCGGTTTGGGCGTTAGCCCAAAGGGGTCCCAAAGTACCTACATAGTACAGAATATGCATACAGTAGTAATGACTTCCCTCGTGGTTTGGGTTCAGGGTTGAGGGGCCAGAGTCTGCCAACTATTGCGTACTTAGGGTCTAAGATTTCAGGACCCTACATCCTACACCCTATACACTAAACCCTAAACAGCGGGTCATTGGGCCCTCTGGCTAGCCCGGCCAGGCCCCACCCAAGGCTTAGGGTTTAAGGTTTAGGGTTTAGGGACTTGTACTTTGGGTCCTGCCCCCACCATTAACAGGCCTATAATAGGGATAATATCAAAGGCGCCACATAGTTTCTTATCTTCTCCAGCTGCTAATGAGTGGGGGCAGTACCCAACTTGTACTGCATGTGTGGTTCTGCATCTTCCTGCATCCGAAACACCTGTAGAGTTTTTGCTTTTTTACGTAAACCCTAAGCTCTAAAAACCCAAACCCTAAACCTGAAATCATAGTTTCGATTCCAAATGTAGGAACCTGAAGCAGCTTGTGACACCAGCCGAGCTCGTCATCATGGACTTCCGAGGTTTGTGGCTCTGTGGTTGGGGGTTTAAGAAACTTAGGGTGGTGAGGAACCTTATAAACCCTAAACCCTAGACGCCCGGGTTAGGGAGTATAGGGGGGGGGATGAGTTTATCATTTTGGAGACAAGAGGCTCTGGGGATTAGTTTATCATTTTGGAGACAAGAGGCTCTGGGGTTTGGGGCTTACGGTTAAGGATGGTTAAGGGTTCAGGATGCAGGGTCTACGGCGACTTGGAGTGTGTTTTCCCAAGTAGGCTGGCGTTTTTAAAATATGGGTTTAGGGTTTAGGGGCTACATAGCACTTGAACCCTGAACCCTAAACGAAGCGCAAGCGCTCAGGCTGAACTTGTTTTCGTTGCAAGCTTCCAAGAATCCAGTAGCCCTTTACGTGCAGCTTTCCCAGGACCCCCCCCCCAAAAAAAAAAGCGATTTAGGATTTAGGGTTTAGGCTAAACATGACGTTCAAAATCCCTAGAACAGGTTCCTAAGCCCTATATACACCATCAAACTCCTACACGGATGTTCTATTCTACATACTTTCCGCACTAAGGTTGTTGTTGCACATCCCCCTAGCCAGTCGATAGCCCAAATCCAAAGAAGACGGACAACCTATGCCGCGTCGGAAATTGGGTTTAGGGTTTTAGGGCTAGGGTTCTAGGGCTAGTGTTTTAGGGTTTCAGGTGTTGGGGTTCAGCGTTCAGGGTTTCGGGGTTGAGGGTTTTAGGGCTTTGGCTCCAGCCTAAATAGGGATCTACTATGCAGAGTATAGGGAAGACCCTACACCCTTAAGCCCAAACCCTAAACCCTAGGAGAATCAAAGCTGGATGCATACTGAGCTGACTATCGGACTCTTCTTAATACTTGATCTTCCAGCCTCCCTAACAGAAGAGGCATTTATGGTCTATGGTTTTGGTTTAGCGCGTAGGGCTTAGGGTCTAAGAGCCAGCAAGTTTCCATTTCCTTTTTCAGTATCCCTATTTAGAAAAATTCACCCCACTATTTACTCTATAATCCCGATAAAACCCCTATATACCCTAAACCCTAAACTCCTAAACCCATATACACATACGTATGTATATAGGTTTAGGTTTCACGCTCGTCCAAGCTCCTGCTGTGTGTCACAACTCCCCAACCCAACCCTTTTCAAAGGGGCTCAAGAGGGCTTAGGATTTAGGCTTAACGGTTTAGGGATTAGGGATTTGGGTTTAGGGACTAGGGATTTGGGTTTAGGGTTGATGTCTTAGGGTTTAGGGTTTAGGGTTTAGGGGTTTAGGGGTTTGGTTTAGGGTTTAGGGATTTGGGTTTAGGATTTTAGGGTTTAGGGTCTAGTGTTTAGGGTAATCCAAGCCTTTTCAAAGGGGGCTCAAAAAAGGTCGCTCAGCAACTCCATCTAAAGCCAGGGTGGCGCAGGTCACGGTCAACCTGCCAGCCGCTGAAAGCCTAAGGGGTTTAGAGCTTAGGGTTTAGGATTTAGGGTTTAGGGCTTAGCATGCTTGCAGCAAAAGGTTATGATTCTTGTTGCTGTTCTCGTTCTTGTCATTTTCTTATTCTTGCTGGCAGTGTCTGACTCCTTTTTGGGGGCGGGAGAAATGTTTAGGGTCGTGGGCCTGTAACTGGGGTGCCGAAAAAAGCCTCTGGTGAGTGATTGTAATTCGGGCTGCAACGAATCATTGTACAGGAGCCTCTCTAGGCGCCTCTTTTGAGCACCTCCCTTGTAAGAAATGACACACGCGGTTTAGGGTTTAGGGTTGAGGGTTTAGGGCTTCCTCACAATTATGGAACGCGGGCCTCTATACTGTAAACATCGGATCCTACCTTTTGGGATATCTGAAAGGCCACTGAATTTCAAGAAATACTCCTCTGTAGAGTAGTACAGGTTCATGATTCAAGCGCAATGTTCGCCTTGCTACAGTAGATGCTCAGAGTCCAGCACGACCTTAAGTACCTTGTTCTACCTTGGAAATTACGGTATTTTGGAACATTACGATCGTGCAGATTTTTTGTGGCAGCAGTAACTCTGTTCCATGACGTGAAACCGCGATGACGTTGAGCTCTTCTTGATGGAAGCCTAAACACATGACAATTGAGAATAGTTTCACCTCCCAATTCAAGGTCATTCGGCACTAGTCCCTATATAAACCACCGCTTAGGGTGAGGTTGGGTGGGGTCGCTTTAAATTGCCCAGTAAACAAGGCCGGTCCCTGAGTGGACTTAGCAATTCACGCGCTTGAATCTGGTTCCATTTCGGGATACTGTTTTGAACTAGTCCCCTGGGGCTAAAGGTCTCCAAGGTTTAGGGAGGCTATAAACAGTGCCTACCTCGGGCCCTAAAGTATAGATATGTTGCCACATTTGGGGGCATTTGGATCCCAAAGGCTAGTTGCATACAGTCCTAGCTGCTCTTAGCATACTTCCATGAACGACCCAGGCATGGCCCTAAACCGTAAACCCTAAACCCTGATCGCCCCAAGGAGCTCTCTTCCCCAATAACCAGAGCTAAATTTTTTTCAACTTCATTATAGAGGCCCAAAATGGAAGCCCAACAAGCTTAAGTTCTTCTATTGTCTAAGTAAAGTGAGTGATCTTGTTGGAGCTCGTTATAAGCCCTGCCCTTATGTTAACCCCCCCCTCATGTTGAAGATTTCCATTGTGGCAACCAACACAGACATTGGGGATGTAGAAGAGGGGGGCAGGTATTGGGGGAGGCGGCTGCTCATTGTAGTTTGCCCAGGGGATCCGCAGGCTTCCCAAAAGGAGGCGACGTGAATGTGTTGCAGGGACCGAAGCATGGGGAAATACAACATCCATACAATGACCAGTTCAATATTGGGGTAATAAAAAGCATAATTCGCTGAGGCTATCCAGCCTCAGGCGGGCGCGCGATAGCCTTGATAATTGTGGCTCTGACTCTACAATATTTCTTGTTAGGGATTTTAAGTGTCATCAAACATACACTCAAGCTCGATCCACATCCACAAATCCTCGGGGCCGGACGTTTTCTTGGACAGCTATGTTAGCTCCTGGCATGTGCGGTTAAAGGGTTATATAGGGGTTATATAGGGGTTATATTGGGGTATATGTTGGGGTATATATTGGGGTATATATAATGGGGTTATATAGGGGTTATATGTTCAGAAAGGCTGGGCAAGCTGTGCTGAGTTTCCGTGGCACTTGCCCATGAACCGTAAACCCTAAAACCATTGTGATTCGGAGCCTAGTTTTTGTTGGTGCATGTGCGGGCTCCACCCCATTCCTTCTTCCTCTCCTTAGGAGTCTAGATACACTCTGTTTAGGGTTTCGAGTTTGAATGCAAGTCCTCAAGCACGGTCATCTTTGTTATCTGGCATCACCACTATTCCACCGCGGCAAAGATTTTTTTTTGCGTAAATTAAACGTCTGGGGCCGAGGCTGGTACAAGAACTACCAGTGCTACAGCCCAAACCCCAAATCCTAAACCCTAAAGGGTTAGGGTTTAGGGTTTAGGGACCCTGAACCCTAGACCCTAGATCCGCGTATTGGCAAATGCGGATACAAGTTGCCCAGTGAATGGCCTGAATGCCAAATCAAACTTTTAGGGTTTAAGGGTCCGGGCTTCCTACACCCTAAGCCCTAAGGGTGTAGGCTTTAGGATTTAGGGTTTCCTAAGCCCTAGGGTTATTGAGGAACACAGAGTTGCTCCTGCTCTCTGTAGCCTGTGCCACCAAGGTCTTTAGGCAACGCGACCGAAATCATAAAGAGTGTAGACAGCGTAGACTAACATGAATTCTGAACGGGGGATTAGGGTTTAGGGATTAGTGTTTAAGGTTTGGGGTCTAAACTCCTAGCATCCCCCTTAATAACCCCTATATTACTCCCCTATGTAATCCCCTAAATAAATCCCCTTTCAGGAGCTTGGATTGTAGTTTGCATGAAGTCTGAACGGCTCATACTGTTGATGCTAAAAAAAACCTGTACGACCTCAGTGAGCTAGAATACCATAGCTTCCAAGGTATAAGGTACTGAGATTGGCGCAGGAGTTTAAAGTTTAAAGCTGCACCTGTACATCGTTTGGCCAAAATTCTGCGGCCCAAACCCTTATATGGAGAGGTTGTTTAAATCATGGTCCCATTTGGGGTCTACTATAATTTGGCCCCTGCTGCTTCAGCTACCCCGAAAAGGGGCCATGATGTTGACAACCCTCCCTAAAATTATGTGGGCCTCCTCATCCTCGTCCCAGTTCATGGACCTGGCATTCGCAGGTGCGCTTCTTAATTCAAGAGCACATCACACCCTAAACCCCAAACCCTAAACCCATAGGGTGGGTTTCCGCAATTGCAACCCCAACCCCCACACCCTAAACCCCTAAACAAAGGGAACCTGGTATATGGGGGATGGCTCAGGACCTTGCTCTCACTCACGCTCTGATCCTGCGTTTGACTAGCTGTTACCTTGAGGGGTTAAGGGTTTAGGGTTTTAGGGCTTAGGGTTTTAGTGCTTAGGGTTTTAGGGCTTAGGGTTTTAGGGCTTAGGGTTTTAGTGTTTAGGGTTTTAGGGTTTAGGGTTGTTGGTTTAGGGTCTAGGGCTTTAGGGTTTAGGGTTCAGGGTTTGGGGGCTGGTACTTCATCAGAGTGGTGATTTGTATATACATGTCTACCCTAGCTTGATTCGTACGCAACTTGAAGTATACTGTCGTCCTACTTACAATTGCACTTGCGGCTACCAACCCTAACACCCTGAACTCCAAACCTTAAAGCCTAAACCACAAACTCTGAACCCTAAGCCCGTGTCATCTACCCCTCAACCTTGAAGCAGGAGTTCGGAGTCGCTGTTGGTTTTGTCGTGCTTTTATAACCAACCCTATCATCGTTACCTTAGGGCTTAGGGTTTAGGGTTTAGGGACTGGGTTTGGGGTTTAGGGGGTTAGTAGGG